AAAAGCAATGCAAAAATTTTAAAATTTAGAAGGGTAGATGTCAAAATTAAGTAAAACTAAAGTACTAAAAATGAAAAAATTTTAACACCAAAAGTGACACGTGACAGCCTCTCAAACCTTCGCTTAGAAAAAACTTTACAACATTATATTAGATTTCATAACTCTCAGAGTTTTACGGCTAACTGAAAAAAAAAAATCAGAACAACAAAATAAACGGTCATCGGTATGTGTTACCTTCGTCTTCTTTTACTTTTTTTTAATTCTCTGTTACAGATTTTCCAAATGTTCGATCTTTTGTTTTTCTGGTTTCCGAATGATTGTCTAGAGAGTTATAAGATTCGATTCAATCAACTGAAGATTGGCGCCATTATCTCTCCATAACTTTCAATCATATTCAGTGATGAATTTTTCTATTATAATAAGTTATGATCTTTAGGAAACGCGTATATATCAATTTTTTTTTTTACATTTGGATTCTAATTAGTAACCCTCACAACGGTTTTAATATTATGACATTTCTGAAAATTTTACAAACAACAATCTAAAAAAAAATAACTAAAACATATCAAAATCTTATATTTGTCACAGTTCTAATTCACGTTGAATACATTTAGATATATAATATAAGATAGATTCTGAATTATCTATTACTATACTCTAGGACTCGAAACCCTGCGAAATCGCGGGGTAAAGAACCTCCACCTATATTTTTTTTTTCTCGTCAATACAACCAAAGATACAATTTACTTTTGACACACATGAATGTGAACATAAACCTATAATCATATGTTTACTACCAATGTCTTTCTCTTTGCTTTCTAATAAGTTAATAATTATACCCAAGCTTTACAATCTCCACATTTGCATTAAGTTATTAATTGGTTCTTTTATACATGGTCGTCCTTTATTTCCTATAAATTTAATGCAAACAGTTTTTACATGTCTAAAAATGTTAAAGAGATTAATAAGATAATCATTGATAGATTGTGTAAGTGTACTTACTTGGAGTAGTGTTGCATCTAAATACAAGTGATCAATCAGAGGTTTAAGTTTGTTTTTAGATCTTAGTGGTCTACCACGTGAACAACGACCAACGACGTCTCCTCCAACTTGTCCACCAGAGCGTTCTAATACTCCACCGACCTAGCCAAAATCAACACATTCACTACAAGAGAACATGTGATATTCCAACGGATGTTTCCAACAATCATATTTTGTTAAAAATTTCCAATGAATATCCCATAAATTTTCATCTAATGCTCTATTTGTTGGAAGTTCATTGCAAATTTTTGACAAATTTTGGTTGTGGCAATTACCTCACATAATTCGTAGGAAATCCGTTGAAATTTTCCAACTAATACGATCTAGTTGGAAATTAGCAATAATTTTTAAGTTGTTGCAAATTACTATAAAAATCATTATTGGAAATTACGTAGTTTGTGGGAAATTTATCTTTGACGATTTTGTGACAAAACATTTGTTTGAAATTTTCCAAAAAAAAATGTCCCACATCGTTTAACATAAAAAACAAAGGTTGAAAACTTTTCTATATATATCATTATGCTCTCTTAAGAATTTTAACATGTCAATATGCTTTTTCCGAAGCCCATGCCCATTCCATGGGTTAAAAAGTATTATTTGAGAAGGATAAACCAAAAATTTGTGGTTTAATTCTAGGCGGCCGATTAGTCGTGCGTAACCCAAATTTTAGAATCATGGAAATTAGCAATGACATTTCGACAAAAAAATTGACGGAACGATTCATTGGCAAATCCACAGAAAATACTGACAAATTTCCAACAAACAATTTGTCAGTAGAATCTGACGAATGACTCGTTGGAAACTCCACGAAAAATACTGACAAATTTCCAATAAATAATTTGTCAGTAGAATATGATGAATTCGAGACAAAATATATTTGACGGAAACATTTCCAACAAATTCCAGATGAATGCAAGTTTCCAACGATCATATACCAACAAATGTGTATTTTGTTGGACATTTATTAGAATGGATATTCTCCAACAAATTACCAACTAATAGGTCTATTGGAATGAGTCTTTTTTCTGTTGTCTGTTGTTATTGTCATCCTCGACGATGACGATGAGATTACCGATTCCGGCCCCGAGAGTGACATCTTCTGAGGTCGAATTGTGGTGAAGATTGAGAAAAGGATGATGAAACTCGTGACTAACGTTCAACGGGAAAAGAGTAAAGAACACAAATATATAGGGAAAACTTTTTTTTCGAAAAGATACAACTCTTGAAAAATAATCATAAAATGGTTTCTTATATCGGAAAGACGTAACTCTTTGAGAAAACGGTTGTATCGAAAAGACACAACCCTTATAAATAACCATAAAGTGGTTATAATGAAAAAAACGCAACCTTTGAAAAAGTGATTATATCGATAAGACGCTACCTTTAAAAATAACTATAAAACGGTTATTTTAGAAAAGATACAACCCAAAAATTCAAAAATAAACTTATATTGTGACAAATGACTAATGTTAGTGAAAAACGTTTTTCCACCACACGCAGTTTATGTATTGGAATCATACCTCTTTGTCTAACCAATAGGTCAATGTTAACGATATTTCGATGTATGCAAACCATAAAAACTGTTTTCATGTATAAATAATCAAAGTTTTTGTAGATAAATGTTAAATTAAAAACTCACTGCACGCACCACCCATTTTCGAGGAAAATAGAATTGAAAATTTTATTACTTTTCGAGAAATCCAAAATTCTTTACACAAATCAAGAATTTTTGGAACTTCTACAATAATAAAACATCTATACTTTAAAATAATTTCAAAATAATATAATGATTTTTTTTAATCTTTCTTATGTTTTAAGTGAATTAAACAATTAGTATCCATAGTTAACAAAAAGTTCAACGGAAAAATGAGTAAAGAACACAAAATATATAGACAACAAAATTTCCCAAAAATACGCGACCCTTGGAAAATAACTATAAAACGGTTTATTATATTGGAAAGACACAACTCTTGAGAAAACGATTATATTGAAAAGACGTAACTCTTGATTAAACGGTTATATCAGAAAAACGCAACTTTTGACAAAATGGTTATATCGAAAAGATGCAACTTTTGGAAATAACCATTAAAAATAACTACTAAACAGTTTTTTACGAAAAATCACAACACAAAACTATTCAATTTTTTGGTTTGC